GAGAGAGAGAGAGAGAAATGGCGGTGGAGTTGGTGTTGAGGGAGATCGTGAGAGGGGCGGGCGTGATGTGCTGGGAGAGGCGGCATGAGCGGGACAGTTACTTTCGCCGAGAGCTCGTTTTCGGTCCGGAGATTACGCGGCGGTCCTACCGCTTTTTGTATGTGGATGTGAATGGGAAGGTCGCCATAGATCTTGACGTGGCGCTTGTCTACAACAACCGCAATCTGTCCCACGTTCTTGTCTGGGTGAAGAAGACCGGTGATTGCGTCCCCGACGACGCGATGAATCCAGGGATGGATATTTTGCCGACATCGTCTTGAACTTTATCAATCACCCGGCGACCGAGCACGGCAACAGACTGGATATGGGGGCGTTTTACTACATATATCTGGATCCGCCGCTCGTAGGGCGTCGTTTTCTCTATGGCGAGATCATGATACGATTGTAGAATATTTACAGTCGGATGGTGTTCTGTGATGCATGTTTTTTGTTATCACTGATGGTTGTGAGCCACATGTCGAATCACAAGCACAAAGCCCGATGATGGTCCATGTGTCGTTTCAGGAGTAGACGTCGTAAAAGTGGAGTGCATGTCAGTGACCCGCGTGTCCCGATAGGAACAAGCCACGTTTTAGTTTTCTTAGGGGACGGGATAATGTTATCATGATGTTGATGGCTGGATTGCAGATGAGGTGTCTTCCACTCAGCCATGTTGGTGACCTCTGCCGCAATGGCAATACTCTTGTTTTCGTGTGTTGTACAACTGCTGGATATGCTTTTGCAACAATTGAAGTGAGTGGTGGGTTTTGGAGATGGTTTGTCTTGCCGCTCTTTCGCACATACACACACACACACACTCACACACACACACACACATACACACACATACACACATACGCAGACGCACACGCGCACAGCGTGTGCATGTGCGTGTATGTGTGTGTGTGTGTGTGTGTGTGTGTGTGTGTGTGTGTGTGTGTGTGTGTGTGTGTGTGTGTGTGCGCAAAGTTTGAAGGCAAGAATGTTATATGGATGGCGAGAATGCGTCCCACCTTGCTCATTGTTTTTTTTCTTTTCTTTCTTTCCACTTTAGAGTTCTCACTGATATCCCTTCTATTCTTTTCTTTTTTTCCACCAGAACTCTTTATACTTGTGCATGAGGTTGTGTCCTTTCTCATGTTCGTCGACTGTCGCCAAACTGCTCACCGGGGGGGGGGGGGGAGAGAGAGAGAGAGAGAGAGAGAGAGAGAGAGAGAGAGTTCCGTTTAACATTTCAAAATGAATAGGACCGCGCCTCATCCCTCGTTTGTGCTACGCATGAAAAAAAACACACGATATGATCATCGTTCCCAGAGGCTCAGCCTGGGAGCTCCTTGTAGACGTGCATGGTGCGCGATATGACCGATGAGGCTGTCTCTCAACTCCTTTCCCAAGGCCATGGCGCACGCTGCATCGTCCTCTGGTGGTGGCGGAGGACCGGAAGGTCGTCTGGGTCTCACACGCCGTCTGCGGCGGGTCCTGCTCCTGCCGTCATATTCATCGCTGCTGCTGTCATCGGACAACAGTTTCGGATCAATCTCCACTTTGGAATCGACCATGATGTTGTGGAGGATGCAGATGGTCATGAACTCTTTGCAAAGAGTTTTCATGTTTGCGATCTGTCTCCTCATGAAGTTCCTCCACACCTTTTCAAACCTCCCGAACGTGCGCTCGATGCATGACCTTATTGACGTGTGGCAGTCGTCGTACACTCGCTCAGCCGGTGTCCTGATGCTCCCTCAAATGGGTGTCATGATCCATGGCAGCTGTGGATAACCTGCATCACCTAGGAGATACCTTCCCACCCTTCGTCCATCACGAAGGACCTCACTCCCCGTTGCAAACACCCCTATGACTCGTTGTGCCTGTCAGTAAAGAGGGGAGACTCGGAGGACACGACTATCGTGAACAGATCCGGGACTGCCCACAAACACACTCACAATACGGCACTCGTGGTCGCACACCACTTGCGCAAGGACGAAAAATTGACCTGTCTTATCGTAATAGCACTCCCCCCTCTCATTCCTTGGCTTCTCGATATACACGTGGGTGCAATCAATTGCCCCGACGCAACCGAGAAATCCTTTCTGTTCGAAAGCATCAAGTGTTTCTTGAAGCTTTGAATCAGTTGGGAATTGAAGTAGATGGCCATACTCCTTGATAAGGGCATCAGCGACATCCTCGTTGCTGCGCAGGGCACTCGCAAGTCCCAGGCCCAGGGAATATGCCGATTGCCTATAGAACCCTCCAGTTGCCCAGCGGATGAGTGCACAAGCGAATTTCTGGGCTGCCGGTACGGGCTGTCTCCAGTTTGTCTCCTTCCTCTGGATATGAGGAGCGATGCGAGCCAGTACCTCCTCGTACAACGGGCGGGGGAGTCCACAGAAACGCTGGAACACCTTCTCGTGCCGACCGCCAATCCTTTGGAGATCCTCCCACACACCACCGCTGCGTTCCAGAACCCAAATCCGTCGTCTGCCATCCATACGCCGACCAACCATGGTAGCGACCATGGATGTCAAGGAAATACCATGCATCACCGCACCGGCGAGCAGCAAAAGAGCGTTGGACATGCCTGGCACGCACGTCGGCACCACAGCCGCCCCTTGGATGACGACCATCGCCACGACGTTCCTGTGGTTCATCCACTGCAAGAGGATGAAAACGAGGAGGAACATCGAATCATCCCATTCGTCCATTTGTCGATCCATGCCTTCGCTGCACGTGTCGGCGTCGTAAACAACGTGGGCAGTGAGCAAGTGAATACAGCAGCGATGGTGTGCACCGGATGTGAGGTGGCGGAAGGCGCCCAGGAACGTGTGTGATAGGCCAACGGTCAGAACCTGATCCGAAATCCTCAGGCCGTGGGTTCAGATAGGCCAACGGTCGGAACACATATCCATGTAGTCCCAATAGGGGCCCGATGTCTCTTCCCAGGGCAGCGAAGCAGCACGGATGGGGCAACGCGTTGCTCAATGCCACTCACCACGTCGCCCCGGTTCGTGGTGTGGTCCTTCGAAAACCACACGGACACTGCCAGACTTTCCTTTTCGGGTGTACCACAGTCCGCCTTTCCTATAAAGGAAAATAGTGCGTCGACTTTGCCGCACGCCTCCGCAATGGGATCCCCCGAAATTCTTTTCCAAGCTTTCCAAAATCGTTGTCCCCGTTTCCATGGGCAAACCACTTTTCCATCCGCAAAGCTGTGGGGTCCTTGCCTAAATATAGAGCCATTATTTATCTCATTCCATAGGAATTTGAACTCTGAAGTTCTGCATTTCAACAGTTTGGTAGCTGTGCCGAGTGAGGGTGTACTCACACTACCGGTAGCACTATGATAAACGCATCTGACCGCATTTACGTCCGGACCTGTATTTATGTGTCCTCGATCCCGTCCCGTCCACAAATAAGTGAAAAAAGTGCCAGGGCGAGTAACGCCCCGAGCTGCGCCAGTTGGTCTGGCAACGTTTTTCGAAAAAGCGCGCGGCGACGTCTCCCTCCCGCCGCTCCGTCTTTACTCCCTGTCGCTGTCCCTGCCAATTCCACCGCTCCCGCTCCCCGCCCGGGGGCTAGGTCCCACTAGCAAAGTTGGATCGAATTAACAACCGGAATCTGGACACGTCCTTTGCCGAGATGCAGAAGAGCAGATCAATCACCGTGTTCTGCATCTGTCCTCATAATCCTCCAGATTCATGCATTAAAGCTAACCCTTTGTGCCAGTGGGACCTTGCCCGGCTAGGTCCCACTGGCGTGTGTTCTTCATTCTTGACCGCCGACGGTGGCGGGAATACGCAGATCCATGGTCAGAAATGAAAAACACCATGTAGTAGGACTCGGACCCCGCTCCTGCTTACGCTTTCGCTTTCGCTCCCGCTTTTCGTTTCCCCCGCGCTCCCCATTCCCTGTCTTCCGCTTCCGCTTCCGGTCCGATCGCGAAGTGTCAGGCATGACCTCAGATGCTAGCGGCCGCCTAACCGTATTAACGGTCGCGCTAACTGAGAGCACACTCACACTAGGACCTTTTGTTCTAAGCTGTGGACGCAATTGCAGTCAGATTCATTTGCGTCTCTCCGTAATTGCAGTCAGATACGTTTAGTAAAGTCCTCGTGGGAGTATCCCCTGAAGTGTTCCGACACACCATGTTCCCGGGTCACCATCGCCGATCACGAGGACGAAGACGAGGCGGCGCCTGACAGGTACGTTCCCCTTCTCCCTTTCGGTCATGGTCGTTCTGTATGTTCTCCGTGAGCTCTTCGTTGTATTTCCTTATTTCTTCCTCTCCCTCTGCCTCTGCTCTCTCCCTCCGTCCTCTCCCTCTGCTCTCTCCCTCCCTCCTCTCCCTCCTCCCCCTCGTCCGTCTCTCCTCTCTCTCCTCCATCTCCCCTCCTCTCCCTCTCTTCCCCAATGTCTGCTCTTTTCCGGACCTCACCCCCTTCTCCCCCTCTCCACCCCGAAGTCGATCATATCAGAAAACTGAATTGGATTCAATCGCTGGACCCTGGGCACTCTTCTACTCCTCCTCCTCCTCCTCCTCCTCCTCTTCCTTCTTCTCCTCCTCCTCCTCCTCCTCGTCCGTCTCGTTGTTATCCTCCACTCGTCATCTTTTTCCTCTCTGTCGCTCTCTCCGTCTCCATTTCTCTCTCTCCCTCTCTCTCCCTCTCTCTCCCTCTCTCTTTCTCTCTCTTTCTCTCTCTCCCTCTCTTTTTCTCTCTCTTTCTCTCTCTTTCTCTTTCTTTCTGTCCACCTCCTATCCGATCTCAGGAATCGAACACGCGACCTCCCTCATCGAGGTCATACAGCACAGAAAAAAAGATTACCATGCCCGCTGCGCAAAAAAAGGGAAAAAAAAAAAAAGAATCGAACCGGTCCTGCGGAACATCCGCTAAAATTGGAACGATATTTATATGACTTGGATCTGGTTTCTTCTTGTTTAAAAATTTGAAGGAACCATATAGAGAGAAAATTAGCATGAGGCCATCGCTGCACTACTCACCAAATGTGCAAAGTGAGAATGAATCTTCCGCTAGAACATGGAAAGATACACCGTCGTCATATTTTTTTTGTCGTTCGTGCATGTGGACAGCAGTGGAGCGAGGCCCCTAGTCCCTCAGCAAGGATGAAAAGCAGAAATAAAGATCCCAAGTACAGAAAAAAAAAAAACAAAAAAAAAACGACCCTTTCCTGTTTCGTTTCGTGGGGGCTTTTCGCTGGGTTTGCAGGGTTTAGGTGTGAAGCAGAAGGGAAAAACGGGGGGGGCTGGGGGAAGAAAAAGGTAGTGTGAACCTCCTACTACCTTCTTCCCCTGAATACAACGTTCGGTCATTATAGCTGTATTTGAGGCATCTTTCAGTCTAGATACAGCTATAATGACCGTACGTTGTATTCGGGGGAAGAAGGTAGAGTACAGAGGGCGAGAGATCACGCTACCTGTCTTTCCCTGAATATAGTGCGCACGGTAATCATCGCTGTACCTAGACTAAAAGTTGCCCAAAATTCACAGCAGCTCTAATTACCGTGCGGTCTACTCGCGGGGCAGACGGGTAGGGTATAGCACGGACTCTTCAATTTCTCGATTTATGCGTGTCATCCTTACTTGCGCAGGGGTCATTTGCTAATTTACCCTTCTCTGTATCGTTCCAATTTTAACGGATGTCCCGAAGGACGGACTCTTCAATTTCAGACGCCCCTTGATCTTCTTTTTTCTCTTTTTTCTCCCTTCAGCAAAACTTTTTATTCCTTCGTTTTCTGAGGTCAGATAGGTCTCGGGCCAGAGTCTGAAGAATCTTCCGTCTGAGGGCGTTCTCACACTACCACGACCTTAAATGTACCTGATCCGATTTACGGCCGGACTTGTATGCATCTGGCCGCGAATTCCGTCGAGAAATAATAAAAAAAAAAGTGCTAGTGCCAGTATGCCCTGAGTGGTGTGCCGATTGGGGGGGGGACAAACGGCCGAACTTGCATGCATCTGGCCGCAATTCCGTCGAGAAATAAATAAAGAAAGTGCTAGTGCCAGTATGCCCTGAGTGAGTGTGCCGATTGGGGGGGGTTGAGGGGGGGGGGGTGACAATCTGCTTTCGTTTTCGTCACAAGTTAATCTGCTTTCGTTTTCGTCACAAGTTCTTGAAAAAAAAAAAAATGAAAAAAAAAAAAACCGACAGACGTAACCCCCCCCCCCCCCCCCAAAAAAAACAGGCAGCTTCTGCTGCCCTCTCCTTGGAGGGGAATCCATTGCGTGGTACTGCCCGCGGGGTTGGTTTCCCGCCTGTAATTAGCCTGTAATTAAAAAAAAAAAAAAAAAAAAAGAGTCCGAAGAATCTTCCTTCTCTGGATGGGTGTGCCGGGGCCACGTCCCACTAGCAGCGTTGAGCTACCTCAACGCCTGAATCTGGACGTGTTTGTGGAGACGTGCAGTTCAGGAATCTCAACACCATTTCTGCACATCTCCGCAAAAGCGTCCACATTCAGGCGTTGAGGTAGCTCAACGCTGCTAGTGGGACTTGGCCCCCGATTAGGGGGTGACAATCTACTTTTATTTCCGTCACAAGTCCTTGGCAAAAAAAAAAAAAAAAAACAGCAGCCGCCACAAGTAATCCCCACCAAAAACTACAAAAAAAACAAAGCCAGGCAATCTTTTTTTTCCCTCTCTCCTTAAGAGGGGAATCCGTTGCGTGGCAGCGCCCTCGGTAGGTTTCCCGCCTGTAAACTCAAATTAAAAAAAAAAAAAAAAGTGGTTGGTTCCCACCTGTTACTGGGGCGTCAGTTGTTCGGCAACGGTGAACCTACCCTGAAAGGGAGGAAATGACAAGAAAAGGGGTGGGCTGTGACAAGAAAAGGAGGGGGGGGGGGCTGTGACAGTGTTTTGTCGGAGTTTCACCGACTCATCAGGAATTATGAAGAACAAGAAACAGGGGATCGCTCCACTACTCTCGACATGCGCAAAAGACAAAAAAATCATGGCGGTGTATCTTTCCATGTTCTAGCGGAAGATTCACTCTCGTTTTCCACATTTCGAGAGTAGTGCAGCGAGGCCCACAGTTCATGAGACGACAATCAATAACCGCTCTCGAAAGAATACGCCCGAATAAAAAAATACAAATATAAATTAAAAAAATAATCAAAAATTAATTAAAAATTAATTAAAAAAAAAAAAGAATACGCCCGAAATGATGGTCATCGTAATGAGTGATACAACGTGTACCACTCATCCGACCGATCCATGCTCTCACCTGAGAAAGCTGAGTACACAACAAACAGATATGTCACACTGTGAAATCGGCGCGCAAAGGCGGAAAAAGACAACAAAAAAGACAACAACAAAACAAAAAAGACAAAACAAAAAAGACAAAACAAGAAAGGAAAGAAGTAAGGAAGGAGAGCTCCGCCTGTTCATCAATCACCTCTTACGTACAAGGCCAGCCACGTGGATGACAGGTTGAGCGGTGGCTGGCCCCATCCCCAAGTGTCACAAGGACCCACTTGCACGCAGCCAAAAAGGCAAAGAGGTAAAGAAACGGAGGAGGAAACAAGACCTCACAGGGCCAAGAGAAAGAGAAAAGGGATCCAGTCAAAGAAAGGACAAGGGAAGAGGAAGAGGAAGGCCTATCAGTCAGTCGAACAAAGCAAATGACACATCCCACAGATAAACCGATTGCCACTGTCACAACAAAGTTCAACATGATTTTTTTCTTATTTTCTATACAGATATATGACGATTTATATTGTCACACTGTGAACCGGAGCGCGGAAAAAGACAAAACAAGAAAAGGAAAAGAAGTAAGAAAGGAAAGCCCGACCTGTTCATCACCTCTTACGTACAAGGCCAGCCACGTGGATGACAGGTCGAGCGCTGGCTGCCCCCACACCTCCGTGTGTCATATCGATCCCCCACTTGCACACAGCCAAAAGGCAAAGAGGCAAAGAAGAGAGGAAGGGAACAGCCAAATGAAGCAGAACAGGGGATCGTCAAGCAGAGCTGGACGGTAAACCGTGGGGGCAGAGAGGGAGGGAGAAGAGGACAAGAAACGAGGGGGGGGCTGTGAAAAACTGTTTCGTCGGAGTTTCACTGACTCATCAATCAGTAGAGGCTGAACCCTCAAAAACGGTCTGCAGAATCCGCTAATAACTGATTACACTGTAAGTGATAATCCACCTTAACCCCGGTCGGTTGTGGTTAAGCATCAACGACTGCCCGAAAACTGATACACTCCTGAGGTGGTGGGGACCACCAACCACTGGCCTCAGCAAGGTACCTGTGATGAAAATCTATATTAGTTTTCTCTCTGTGTGAACAAAAAACAGATTATGAATGCATCTGCTTTGATTTTCGTCACAGGTACCTTGCTGAGGGCAGTGGTTGGTGGTCCCCACCACCTCAGGAGGGTATCAGTTGTCGGGCAGTCGTTGATGCTCAACCACAACCGGGGTTAAGGTGGATTTGTATCACTTAGTGTAATCAGCTATTAGGGGATTCTGCAGACCGTTTTTGAGGGTTTAGCCTCTACCGATTGATGAGTCGGTGAAACTCCGACGAAACAGTTTGTCACAGCCCCCCCTCGTTTTTTGTCCTCTTCCCCTCCCTCTCCTCTCTGCCTTACGGTTTACCGTAGGCAGTTCTTTTTGACGATACCCGGTGCTGTATGTGGGAATCGCCATCCGGGATTGTCTTCTCCTTCTTTTTGGTTGTCACATTGTGGATTGGAGCCTTTTTTTGTTTTGCTGATTTTGTCTGTACCTCGGTTGGTTTGGTCCCGTTGTTCGGGCTWTCTTATGGGHGTGGCTGTGCTTYCATGTGGGAYCAGCCATTCGGGKTTTKGGCATCCTGGTTGGTTGTTTCCCGTTGTTCGGCCCTTTGAGAGGCGGGGCGGTGCCTGTATGTGGGAATCGTCATCCGGGATTGTCTTCTCTTTTTTTCTTGGTTGTCACACTGTGGATCGTCGCTTTTTTATGTCTTGTCCTGGGTGGTCTTGTCCCGTTGTTTGGCCTTTGACGGAGCGGGCGGTGCTTGCATGTGGGACTTGTCATCTGGGATCTGTCTTGTTTCCCTCTGTTCTATTTGTTTCATTTGGCTGTTCCCTTCCTCTCTTCTTTGCCTCTTTGCCTTTTGGCTGTGTGCAAGTGGGTCGATATGACACACGGGGGTGGGGGCAGCCGCCGCTCAACCTAGATTAAGTACAGAAGGAATGGGGTGTCCTGGAAGTACAGAACAGCAAAAGAAGAAAAAGTACAGTATTGCTGAACAAAGGAATGGGAAGGGGAGGAAAAAAAAAAAAACAAAAAAAACACCGAATCTGGTACGGGAATAGAAGTGGAGCGGGGGCGGGAGGGGGGACAAAGAGAGGAGGAAACGGAGCGTGAAATCGCAGAAATCGCAGAATAGATCTCAAGAACCTGGGAGGAAAACAAAAAAATCGCAGAAGAGATTACAAGAACCTGGGACAAATTAAAAAATAAAAAATAAAAAAATAAGGAACTTGGGAGATGCAGCATAGAAGAGAATGACCAGGGGAAAGAAGACGCACAATACATCATCGACCGCTAATGAGAGAGAAATGGGAGATGAGAGAGGAGAAATGAGAGAGTGGGAGATGAAAGAGGGAGTGGGATAGAAAAGCAGCAGAAAATCGACCCCGCACCCCAGCCCCCCCTCCCCCGTCGGCGCTATCGAGAAAAATACTAATACGTATACGGCAATAGCCAAACGGCAGCAAACGGAGCGAAACGGCGAAAGAAGAAGCCGAGGAAGTGGAGCTGAAAAACAAGAAAAAAACAGAAGCAGATGAAATGGAACGAGCTCCATCCACGTGGCTTCATATTATCGGTCACCCTGACAATTCCCAGTAGATCTGTCGGTCATTGTGCGGCCGTGCGTAGATCTACTTCCCACGATGAAGTCGATGACAGTTCCACCATTAAGTCCATAAGTCCATCCCGATAGATCTACTGGCTCCCTCCACGTGGACTTATGGACTTCATGGATGAAGCTGATTAGTGGCTTAGTGCTTCACTAATCAGCTGGGACGGCATACAAGGACCGATAGATCTACTGGCTCCCTCCACGTGGCTTCATATTATCGATCACCGTGCAGTTGCCACTAGATCTGTCGGTCATTGTGCGGCGGCCGTGCGTAGATCTACTTTCCCTCGATGAAGTCGATGACAGTTCCACCGATGAAGTCCATAGTCTGCAGAAATCGTCTATCCCTCGGACTTATCGCTTCACCAATCAACTCATCGGCCATTTCATCAGAACACACGCCAGTGGGACCTAGCCCCGGGGCTAGGTCCCACTAGCACAAAGGGTTAGCTTTAGTGCATGAATCTGGACGATTTCTGCACAGGTTTAGGCCCCTTTTATCTTTTTTTTTTTTCCGTTTTTTTTTTTTTGCTGTTGGTTTWTTTGGTGTCCACTCTAAAAGGTGTGGGGCGTTTGTTATAGTGACCCTAAATTCATCAGTGGCCTATCTCAGTTGGTTAGGCCGTTTGTTATAGTGGCCCTGAAAATTTTGGGCTCTGATAACCTCTTCTCGGCTAGGGCACACTTTTGCCTTGGGGTTTTAGGGCCCTTTGATCTATTAAATGGCCGACACCTTTTAGAGTGGACACCAAATAAACCAACAGAAAAAAAAAAAAAAAAAAAAAAAGGGGGGGGGGGGGGGGGGGCCAGAGGGGGAGGGAGGGAATAGATCAAAGGGGCCTAAAACCCCCGAGGCAAAAGTGTGCCCTAGGCGAGAAGAGGTTAACAGAGCCCTAAATATCAGGGCCTTTTTAGGGCACACTTTCGCCTTGGGGTTTTAGGCCCCTTTGATCTATTCCCCCCCCCCCCCCCCCCCCCCCCTTTTTTTTTTTTTTTTTTTTTTTTTTTTTTTTTTTTTTTTTCTCTTTCACAGGGGGGGGGCTTGTTTTTTTGTGGGGGAAAAATTTTTTGTGGTTTTTTGGTTTTTTTTTTTCCCCCCCCCCCCCCCGGGGCCCCCTTTTTTTTTTTTTTTTTTTTGCTGTTGCTTTATTTGGTGTCCACTCTAAAAGGTGTGGGCCGTTTGTTATAGTGGCCCTGAAAATTTTGGGCTCTGTTAACCTATTCTCGCTGGCCCTAGGTACTTCAGAATTGTAGTATTTTAGTAAAGTTTACTCATCTGGTTCCAGTGGAGTTCGGACTCAGGTCTGTATTTCGAACTCCACTAGAAGCAGAGCTAGGTAATTCAGAATTGTAGTGTTTTTTACTCATCTGCTTCCAGCTCAAGGGTCTACCAACTGAGCTTAAACGCCAGTTGGTTTCCCTGTTTTTAAGTAACATCGTTTTTTTTTAATTATATTTTTTTGTTCTATTTCTGTTCGAAAGGGATAGTCGGAATGTGAATTAGTCATCCATAGCAATAGCCACATATTTAAAAAAACTAGTAGTTGTAGCAGACATGTGGACTTCCAATAACGAGATAGATGAGAGTCAACACAGGAGGGGGGGGGGGAGAAGAAGAACTTAGTTCCCGAAACGCGACTAGATGGCCGTATACTGCAACAAATCACCGCCAGATACATAGAAAGATAAACTTGAAGCCCGAAATGCAATAGTTGGCCATTGCTTTGGTGATTGGTGATGAGATTGTCCCCTCGCCTTCCACAAGAAAATCCGGAAAGCATGGGGTCTGAGGGCATACTCAAACTATAACTTTTTTCCACAAAGCTCTGGTCGTGATTGTAGTCAGATTCATCCACTCTAGGGCCGTAATTGCAGTCGGATGCATTCTGGAGTGTTGCAATTGGTGACGACTGTCTCCTCGCCTTTCGCAAGAGTACGTGGAAAACGTGCGGAATGAGGGCATACTCATGCTAGGACTTCTTTTTACGCAAAGCTTTGGACGCGATTGCTGTCAGATTCGTCCACGTCGGGCCGTAATTCCAGTCAGATGCATTCTCGAAAGTACTAGTGTGAGTGTGCTGTGAGTGCAATGAACACACTGTTTTTTCTAGCAATATCGTTCTGTTTGTGTTCGGAACGCAAGAGTTGATCGTTGCCCCTTGACAAGTCCTGTTGAGCCGCCAGGCCAGGCAAAACGAGGTGGAGAATGTGCCGTGGTGGGGGGGAATGTGCACGTGTTGAGCTATGGTTATGTCTGAGCGGGTGTGATGACGGCATCGTTTCAATTGCTTGGACAGCTAGGGCATACTCCGGACAGCTAGGGCATCCTCCGGACAGCTAGGGCATATTCAGGCAGTGACCCCACTGGCTGGCCGTAGCTGGTGGCCAGTACAGCATCCGCCAGCACAAATTGTAGCCTATGGGAATGGGCAACCGAAAATATGGGAATGGGCAAGCGAAAAGGGACTCCACCGCCACAACAACTTTTGGCACTTCAGGAGGTTTCTGTTACCCGATTAGGAAGACTTGCCTTTTCAGGCAAGTTTGCCTCCTCTTTTTCAGCACACCAACCAATCCCGTGCCTCCTCTCCGCACGGGATGGCTGGTACGTTTGCCAACCTCTAGTGGCCGCCAGTGTATCAGCCATCCTGTGCGGAAAGGAGGCATGGGGATTGGCTGGTGTTCTGAAAAGCCGGAGACAGGCAGAGTGAAAACAAAAGTGCTTGCTTTTGCCGCCAACAGTGGAGTCCACGAAAGTGCTTGGTGGATGGTTAGGGGAGCGTAGTTGGTTAGGGTTCTCTCTCTCTCTCTCTCTCTCTCTCTCTCTCTCTCTCTCTCTCTCTCTCTCCCCCCTGCGCGCGCGTGTGCGCGTCTCTCACCATCGCTCTCGCTTTTGCATGTGCGCATGTTTTTTTTTTTCTTTTTCCAAGGTGTCGCTGGACCACGGATCAGATGCGAAACTGATTGGGGCATATGCTAAACTCGATCATTGTGGGAAGTGGGGGGGAGCGGGGAGAGTAGTTAATTAGATTGGAGTCTCTCTCCCTCTCTCTCGTTTTCATGCACACACATCTCTTATACACATCTAGATGTGTATAAGAGACAGGATTGGGGCATATGCTAAACTCGATCATTGTGGGAAGTGGGGGGGAGCGGGGAGAGTAGTTAATTAGATTGGAGTCTCTCTCCCTCTCTCTCGTTTTCATGCACACACACGCGCTTGTGTTTTTTTTTTTTTTTTTTTTTTGTAAACAGGGTCTCGTTGAACGACGGATCAGATATGAAATTCATTGGAGCAGATACTACACTTCATGGTGGGGAGGAAGAGGCTGTCTCTTATACACATCTAGATGTGTATAAGAGACAGGAATTACATTGGGCTCTCTCTCTCTCTCTCGCTCTTTAGTCTCTCTCCCTCTCTCGCTTTCAGGCATGCGCGTGCATGTGTGAATCTCTTTTTTTCTTGGGAAAAAAGGCATCGATTGACCACGGATCAGTTACGAAACTGTTCGGAGCACATCCTACACTTGATGGGGGCGGGAGGGTGACACATCTCTCTCTCTCTCCCCCTTCTGGTCTCTCTTCCTCTCTCTCGCTTTCCCGCGCACGCGCTTGCGTTTTTTTTTTTTGAAGGGTCTTGGTAGACCACGGATCAGGGGCACGTAGTGCGTTTTTTTTTTTTTAAAAGGGTCTTGATGGACCACGGATCAGGGGTGCGTAGTTAGTCAGAATGATCTCTCTCTCTCTCTCTCTCTTTGCGCGCCCAAAAAAATTTATTAGCTTTTTTCTAGCAGCGGCGGGAAGAAACCCCGCGCACGATCTAGCATTTTCTTTCTTTCAATGGCGGCGGGAACTCTCTCTCTCTCTCGCACACACACACACGCACACACAGAGTGCGAGCCTAACATTTTTTTCTTTTTTCTAGCGGAGGCGGGAAGGCCGAGGGGCAGCCGCTGGCGGAGGGGACTGCAGGGGAGCGCAGGCAGGGGTGCGCTGGTGGGGAAGCGGTGGCAGATGGGGTGGAGGTGAGCGCTGGCGGAGGGGAAAGGAGCGCAAGCGCAGGGGAGCACTGGCGGAGGGGAGTGGAAAGGAGTGCAGGCGCAGGGGAGCGCTGGCGCAGGAGAGCGCTGGCGGAGGGGAGCGGAGGGGAGCACTGGTGCGAAGAGCGGCGGAGGAGGGGGTGGAGGGGCGGTGGATAGGTGGAGATGGAGGAGCTGGGGGGCAGAGACCGGCGGAGGAGGGGGAAGGGCCGGAGGAGCAGCCGATAAGTGGAAGAGCAGCAGACGAAGAGGGGGAGCGCAGGCGGAGGGGAGTGGCCGGAAGGGAGTGGAGGGGAGCGCTGGCAGAGGAGAGTGCTGGCGAAGGGGAGCGCAAGGAACACAGGTGGAGGGGGGCGCTGGCGAAGGGGAGCGCAAGGAACACAGGTGGAGGGGAGCACTGGCGGAGAGATGTGGAGGGAAGTGCAGGGGAGCGCTGGCGGAGGGTGTGCTGGTGGAGGGGAGCGGCAGAGGAAGAGGGGATGGAGCGGAGGGGCGGTGGAGGAGCATAGGCTGGGGAGGGACGGGCGGCGGAGGAGGAGGGGGTTCTTGGGGGGGGGGGRGGGGGGCCACTGACCTGAATCTCCCATCTTTGTGCGTCGTTCAGGCGTCGACGGTCGAACATTGCATGACAATCATTGTGCCCACCACATCTCACGGCCTACCCGTGATGCTGGCCAACCACTCACCGCATCCAATGACCGACTGCAGTCGATCAATCTCTCTCTCTCTCTCTCTGTGCAGTCGATCACCCTCTCTACTTCGACTTTACTACTTCACTCTGCACTACCACGCTCGACTTCGACTTCACTGCTCCACTCTACACTACCATGCTCGACTGCGACTTCACATGTGTCTGGCACACACACACACACAAACACACGCACACACACACACATACACACACACACACACACACACACTCACACAACATGGTGAGCCCTTATCCATCAGCCAAATTCATCCCGGGCAGACTGTCGGGGTTCAACCTCCTGGCTTAGTCACACTTTTTTTATGGAGTTGTGTATAGCGAACATCACAAACACACAGTGAAGTAGTAAAGTCGAAGTCGAGCGTAGAGTAGCGTAGGGGTCGATCTTTCCGATGCCGTGGGATTTGCCTTCACGGAAGCCTGCCACCACGGCACGCACACAGACAGACACTGTGTGTGTGTGTGTGTGTGTGTGTGTGTGTGTGTGTGTGTGTGTGTGTGTGTGTGTGTGTG